GGGCCTGTAGCCAAAGTGGCAGGCCACTTTGGAAAGGCGCAGTTGCAGGCTCGCGAGCAGTTCACGCAAGCCTAAGTAGTGGGCTCTTGCCGGTATACGCAGTAAGAGAGAGCACTTGGCTTCGGGCCCGGGCCTGTAGCAAAAGTGGCAGGCCACTTTGGAAAGGCGCAGTTGCAGGCTCGCGAGCCTTGTAAGGTGGCTTTGTCAACATAGGCTCGTATGAACTCGTGGTTTAGCAAGGTGTCAGCCTTGGCACCGTCGCACGATCAGCCTTGGCACTGTCGCACGATCAGCCTTGGCACCGTCGCATTCAACAGAGAAGGGATTAAGGGGAGACTGCAGGTGACAGAGGGTACCTTACCTGAGCGATGGGGGGAAGAAACGGAGGGAGTAAACGGCTTGCGGTCGTACGATCTGTTTGTCGAACAGCAAAACACAGCAAAGGTAGTTGAGTGCTTAGGGTAGCAAATCTGGTGAGTAGGAGATAACCTGGGTAGTTAAACAGAAGGAGGTGAACTACCCAAAATTATCTTAACATCGTTGTCTTAGTTATGCGGATAAAAAGCAACAGCTATCCAAGGGTTACGCTCACCGTAGGTATAAAACGGATTAGGTGAAATGGACTTTCCTCTTTGCAGGTAGGTGAAGAATGGAAGCAATGTACTCTAACGTTTGTGGATGAGACTGAAAAGCGACTCTTCTCTTTTCCGGTAGGTGAAAGGTGGGTGCAATGCAGTGATGTATTGTACTGTTTGTAGATGAGACTGAAAATGGACCCCGCTTTTTGTAGGTAGGTGAAGGGTGGGTGCACTGCAGTCTACTCTTTGTGGAAAATGGACCCCCGCTTTTTGTACGTAGGTGAAGGGTGGGTGCAACGCAGCCTACTCGTTGTGGAAAATGGACCCCACTTTTTGGAGGTAGGTGAAGGGTGGGTGCAATGCACCCTACCTACTACTCTTTGTAGATAATGGACTCTGCTTTTTTAGACGAAGGACCGATCAGAGGTGAATCCTAGCTGAGTAAGGACATAGTTGCTAGAGTGAGAAGGAGGTGTGCACAGTGTGCTACTGCTTCAAATTGGTTGACTTCCCCTGAGGATTTCTTACAACTGGAGATCTACGCTTTGTTCATACAATTATTATTCTTGTCGAGTTATTATATCAAATCCCTTGATTGAATTCAATTCGTTCGTTAATCGTTATTACATTTCAGGAGGCTACTACAGAAAGCTAGAGACATGGCGATATGTCAAAGGCAGGGGCGCTGCAACTGTCTGTGCTCTGTGAGGGTGTGAACAGATGTCTGCGCCCTATGAAGTCGTGAACAGATGAATGACCACGTCAGGAAAGCATACAGCATGCTTTTCTTTGCTTTTCTTTTCTTTTCTTTTTTTTTCCCTTTTTTTTATAACATACAAGCCCCATCTATTCTGGGGGGCGGCAGTCTGGTTTCTTATCGCAGGCAAGCATTCCAGGCGCAGTTTTGATGGGCGTACAGACGGTTGAGGTGTGAGTTGTGTGGTGAGGCATTTTGTGGAGTCGTTGTTTCCGTTGGCACATGCATTGCTATGGAGACAGTAGGTTGGCTCAACTCCCTGCGGCCAGCTTTCAAGCACCAGTACTCGAGCAAGCTGTATCCGCCTGCATAGTCAAATTTGTTCAGGATAAAGCGCATTCAGAGGCTCACAGAGGACTGCAGAAGTGCCTGAAATACAGGTAACTGGTGGTTTACTTGAATCGTCCGCATAGCGAACATAGTGAATCCTCCTATATGGAGTGCAAATGAAGGTGAGCAGATTGCACTTGTGATTGGGGTGCTAAACAGTGCACCACTGTCCTTCCTAGCTCCTGCCAACTCCTTCCTAGCTACTGCCAAGCTCCTCCCAAGCTCCTCCCAAGCTCCTTTCTCGACACGTGCCATTGCAATACCCACATGATCAATCACACACAGAGGAGAAGTAGCCACCATCCATTTACATGGACTCAGCACCTTGGAAATTTGATCACACAGACGCCAACTGCCATCCACCCGGTACAAATGCACTTGGTAGAAAGAATCTTGGGTGTGTATTCCCAATTATTTGCTGAATTCAGAACAACTTTTAAACCTGCTTTTTCATTGCTCAATGAGTAATGCTGTTGCCAACTTGCCAAACACCTTTTAAATTTTAATGCTCCTCAAGTTTCTGAAAATGCATTATTCAGATTTTTTCATGGTTGGATTGCATTGCTTGCAGTTTCTGCCCATCTGGAGCAACTTGCCCTTCTGTATTTCCCTCCTCCACTTCACCTCTCTCTCTCTCTCTCTCTCTCTCTCTCTCTCTCTCTCTCTCTCTCTCTCTCTCTCTCT